CTCGCGCGAAATAAAAGTAACCACCACCACCACCGTGAAAACGAGTGAAACGAAGCAATTTTTGTGATAAAAGAAAAAAACATCTGATAGAAATATAAAGGAAACGTATTTATTAATTGTATATTTGCATATAGTAATAATCATTATAGATGGAATATTTTAGAAGGAATAATGACAGTAAAGAAAGGCTCGGTTTAAATGTTGCATCTATAAATACATAGATGAGTGTAGTCAAAGAGATTCGTGGTGGTGGTGATGTTTGGGGTAGTTGTCGGAACTAGTACAGGATATGTTGTTAATACCCGGATATATCGATAAATTCGCGATAACCGTTATCATTCTATTAATTGATTGCCAACATCGAGGATATATGTTCATTAGAACACTCATAATACTGCTACAGTAAATATCCTTGCGTGTATCTTGCTTACTCCTAGACTTATTATGCGATTATGTGCTAGTCTGCTGTGTATTACGAAGCTGCTTTGCGATTTACAAACCCGTCCAACGATGTTCGATTGCACGATTTAGAAAGCAAAAACGAAAGAAAATTGTTCATCGTAATCGATTAATCATTTTCCGAAGCCTTGCCCTTCGATATTCCTTTAGATTCAAACTCAAGATTTTCTTTCATTTCATTATTACGAACGTTTATACGCGTTTAAGTAGAAAAAAATGGGGAAAAAAATGGTAAAAACCGAACTCTATGACGATTACGCGAAATAAACTTGTTGACGACCGATGACTTATAACGAATCAAGTTTTCCAATCGAAACATGTTTTTCCGTTATCTATAGGCGAATAGATAAATCCATTTGCAGATTAAAAATGCACAAATGCACATTCTAGCAGAAATATATTCCGAAGGTAAAATTGGAGGAGATGAGTTACGGTCTTAAAGAAAATATTTTCTTGTTTTAATGGTCTACCGATAGACGCCTAAGAGACCTTTTTATCATTTTCTTCTTGTTCATCCTCTCTGATTAATCCTATCGAAAAATAAGAAAAATATCAGATAATGAACCATAAGGTAGGTTGGTTCACCGTACGTTGATTATAAATGCTGTCATTTATCTATTACCGATCATTTAAAAAAGAAAATAGAGTGATTATTAGCATAGCGTAGTATCCCAGCGGCAAGTAAAAATAAAAAATAATCTAAGGGGAAGAAGTTGAATGGCTGTGGGCACGCGATGTGCTCGCCATAGGCGATATAAAATTCGCTCCTTGCACCCTGTCTGCTTTATGAGGGATATTTATTTGAGCCGAGGAACGAAAAGAGAGACCAAAGAAAAAGAGGAGCGGTTTAATCGACCGAACGCGAAGCCTCGCCTTCCGAAACATTTATTTACCTTTTTTACCTTTATTTTACAATATTTCCCCATAAAACGTATCACGGAGACGATGATTTTTAATTCAAAAGAAAGAAAATGTCTGATATAAGAAATGTCTATTCATTAATTATGGAAAAACACTTAAAGCAACGATAAAAGATGTTTCAAAATAATAGAAAACTAATGATTCATCAAATGAGTTAGAGATTAATAAGACGAATTGTAATGGTATAGTTAAACGCGTGGAATGAACGATAAAAGAGAAGTGCTAACACGTCAAGCAGGAATATGTATACAAGCGGACGTAAAACAAGCATCACAGACCCTTTCTATCTCATTTGCCTTTCGGAAACACCATAAAGCTTCTCCCCGCATCCGGTCGAGCTCGTTCGAACCGGACGCTCTGTTAGCCTACGTTGCCCACCCTGACCCTCCTTTGCCCTCCTCCTCAACCCCTCTCTCAATATCTTCTTTTTCTTCGTAGACTAAGCGCAATACTAAGCTAATGTGAGAGTCACGCGCGATTTCCAATTATAATATCTTTTTCTTTCTCTCTCTCTCTCTCTCTCTCTCTCGCTTAGTTTCCGGTTTTGCTTTCACGTTCGAAGTTCGAAGGTTGAAGTAGTCGCGAGAAAAAAAGCTAGCCTATTTTTAAGTAGTAACGGCAACAAGAAAAAAGTCCTATTACCCTTCATCTTCTCCTTCTTCTAGTTTATTATTTCTCTATCCTACTCGTGTGAGCTGTCATCATCGATCCTAGATTTATTTATAGAACCTCTTCGGGCTCTCTATATCGGCTTGCACTTGGCGATTTCTGTGTTTCCTCATTCGTACCATCGCATCTACTTCTTGCACATCTCAATACATATATAGGATAAACCATTTCAATCGTTATTTCACTATAGCCGGAGACTTGTTAAATAATAAAATATTTTAAATCATAAATATTTTAATCCATTAGCCGATGCATCTCCGTTATTGATGTCAATCTCTCTCACTCTTTCTTTAATAATTATTTTATGATATGATATGATATTAGGAGAATAAAAGATGTGACAAAAAAAAAACAGGAAACGCACCTCGAATAATCTTTCAGTAATCGATATCAATTTTCTCGATGATGCGGGTATTAAGAGCATTACTTACTATGCGGGTCTGTTAACGCTACTACAATATATCCTCCTATATCCTAACAAGTACATGCAAATTAATGCTAACGCTAGCCTTTTTTTTTTTAATCTTTATCTCCAGTAGATTATCGCGAAGATAAATCAAGCTCCGATAAAACTAACCCACCGTTTGTCCTTCCTCGTTGATCTAATTACGTATAGAACAAAAAATAATTTACCATAGCAAAAGAAAAATAAAAGACGAGTGTGAAGTCTATTAATCAATGGAATAATCGATCATGATCGATTGATCAAATCGACTTACAACGGAGATCTCCAAGATGATGATTAAAATGATCTATCGAGGAATAGCAACTTGCTACAAGTTGGTATGGTGAACTCTCGGTAGGAATCATTGGACAAAGTTAAATCTAGGAGAGTTATTGGGATGCAACAGCGTGTCACATAGGTCTACTACTCTCCTGAACAGGTTGCATTAATAATCCGTGATTATGATCGACCCAACGTCGCCAGTAGCAGCAGAGAATTCAACGCATCTAGCAACGTGCATGGTATATTCATTGCGATATAGGAGGAGGAGGAGGAGGAGGAACGACGTCCTTCGTAAGCAGTGTTAGAATTCAGCGAAGCTTCCGCCCTTCTCTCTCTCTCTCTCTCTCTCTCTCTCTTCATACACATATATACATGTATCTATCTCTGTTACACTTATTCTGTTTGCGGTTTCCGCCGGCTGTGGTGGCGAGGACGCAACTCTACGCCCTGATCCTGAGTGGTTCCTTAATTAGAAATCAACCGGTAGCTTATCGGTTAAGTTACTTTTGTGGTCGACCTTAGCGGCATATTTTCAAACGGAAAATTTTCTCTCCATCATATTTGCGCGTATATCTAATTATGCTTACGATCGTTCATTATATTTTTCTCTCGATATAGTTTTCAAATAATCATTTCAACGAAACTAAGAATTGACCCGTAAGGAGAATCAATCTAATACTTAGAAATTCGATTATTGACGATAATTGTTTAAATTTGTTTTATTATTAGTATATAATAATAAAATCATTCGATATTTAAAAAAAATCAAAAAGTATTTTTTTCCACAAACCTCTGTAATATTAACACTTTGAATTCCAATATTTAAATTGAGAAAAGAAACAAATTAGAAGTATAAAGAATAAGACAAATGTTAAAAATTGATCAAACATTTGCAGATATCAACGCTTTTTTATTTCAATATTGACTTATCCAAAAAATCTAAAAAAATGCAAAATAAGAGCAACTAATCGAAACACAGATAGGATTATAATTCGAATAAAGAGAGAAACTGGATAAGAGAGTCAGGTTGCAAGTGAATAATGTTATTGACTCGTGCATGAACTGCGTAATCTAAAAGATGAGATAAGCAGATAAAGAAAGAAAGAAAGGAAGAGATAGAGATACAGAAACGTTTTGAATAAGATGAAGATAAAGATGATGCTGCCGCGAAGTATAATAAGCGGCATTACTAATGATGATTTACGTTGTAACAAGGAGGTCCAATAAAAGGAGAGAGAGAGAAAGAAGACCGGGGAGCTGATTTATCGAACCGGCACGACCGAGATTAACTTCTGGCGAGAATGCATTGAACGATCCCGTTCTCAGAAATGGATCGGTTTCTCCTTGATCGATGGATCAAAGATTCGACCGTTAAGCATATACATTTCCTAAGTTGCCGATAGGAAATCTCGGTAGGTGCTGCTGCTACGTGGCAAAAGTATACTCGATGAAAACTTAATAAGATTTCTAAACAAGAATTGACGTTTATAGGACGTTACAGTTATATACGAAGAATATTAATCGTATGATTAATCGCGCGATCGATAGATCGAGAACTTAGTTTGGTCTTTTATTTATTAAAGGAAAGCAAAGCTCTCGCTAAATTATACGAGCTTTCGACATTCGAGCTCGAAAGAAATAAACGAAAGAGAAGTAAATAAAAAAAACAGGTCGGTATTATCGAAAAGAGATTATTTATGAGGAAAGAAACTTTTTTTCCGCTTGCTGCGATAGGACAAAAGAAGAAGAAGAAGAACAGAAATTGTGTTCTATGGATCGCTTATTTTTTCTTCTCTTTTTATTTCGTCTATTGGTGTAAGAAGAAGCACAGGATGCGACCTATCCGATTACTTTGTACATATTAGTACGCAGTAGAGAAACGTATTACTAGACTAGAGATATCGCGGATCGTTATTATTCACTGTATCTATGTATATACGCGTATGCATGCATGCACATACATTGATCGTTGGAATTCTATTCAATGGATAAACTCCCACACGAAAATAATTTACGTAGTAGCGATACTTCCTTCGCACATTCTAACATTCCACAAATTTTCCACGTCCGTTGTTTATTTACTCGTTTACTTGCTTCCTTGCTTTCTTTCTAACTCCTTCGAAAGAATGAAAAATAAAAAAAAGCATGAGAGGTTTAACAAATTACCTTTCCTCTTGCGAATAAGTTACTCTTCTATTATAAATTAAATGATAGAAAAGGATACATTTCTTGGAAGAAGTCGAGATGCGGTGGTTGCAAGATATCCAGGGCTGAGAGAACCTGAAAATTAACCAGAGAATCAAACTTTTAAGATTTACTTCTTTGATTTTTCCAGTTTTAAAAGTAAAAAACAAAAGGAAGGAAGAAATTTACTCCGAGGGAACATAAAATGATCATTTACTTGGAAATCTACGAGAAACTTATTTCAAATTCTCAATTTGAAATAAACAAAAAATGAAATTTAGAAGTTTGTACTTAAAATTAGCCAATGATTGATTAAACAAATGATTAAAAGTAGTCGCGATATATCGTCGCTGATTTGTTATAGTTTGTCGAAATAGGAAACAGCATGTTGCGTGACTACCCCCCTCTCGTTTAAGAATAATATTGAAGCAATACGAGTAATTATGTGAAATTTTGAATAATGGAAATACACGTGAACAATTCATTTATATCTCGAGTTAATGATAAATTTAGCATTTAATATTTAATCGACTTGCCACCAAATTCAATACGATATCCTATAATCGATGAGATCAAATATTATCTCTATGCATTAAACCGAATTCGTGTATAAAAGTAAAAATAAAAAACAAAATGAAAATTGAGAAAAACAATTAGGGAAGAGGAAATCGGAGAACGTAATAAGATGAGAGTAGATTTCCGATATATAGGTAGCACAATGCAAAAAAAGAACCATAAGAGATAGAAAGAGATGATAGTAAAGCGTGCCGACAGCGGATAATCCAAGAAAAAGGATCGACTCGAGTACCAACACAAACATAACATTGAAGAGAGCAGCCACTCGAAGAGTTAAGGGTTTTGATGCCTTTAAAGAAACTTTCTTCGAACGAAACTCGAATAGACATACGTGCGTGCGCGTGTGTGTATGTGTAGAGATATCCACTCGCGTATTGCCGATACTTAAATCCAAACTCTTTGAAAAATAAATGTACTTTCGTAGTACTACTTGAGAGCTCGACTCGCTAACTTACTGAGAGATTATGATCACGGGAAACATGGAAGAACGAAGAAATAAACGAACGAACAAACGCGACCTCCTAAAGAGGAGGTCCTCCTACTACCGATTCCCTTTTTTACATCTCTTTTTCATACCAAATACAACATCTAGAAAGTCAAACTTTCTACTCCTTCTTTTACTAAGTATTCTCGATCTTTTCCAAGTGCACGACACTTTAACTATATTTCACATAAAGATTTAAACTTATTCAATAATTTGACATTTATATATAGAATTTGAAGGGAAAATAAAATGAAAAAATGAATTGATTTAGCGCGCACCCATACATTAATCTTTAGCATTAAACTCACGTTTTCATGTTTGAAGAAACAGAGCATCTTCAGCTCTCTGAAAACGCGCTTGCTGCTGACGAGGCTTTGAAAGACGTTCGGCAGTTTCTTTAAGGCCACTCTCCTACCATCCCTGGGATCCGTGACAGCCCTGAAACAAATTATTAATTATTAATAAATAGAATTGCAAGATTAATTAAAGTTTATCCATCGATGTAATGCAAAGTGTGTGTTGGATGAGAGAAAGAGAGAGACATTAAATTATTTTAAAATAAATCATTATTCCTAGGAATATTCAATCTCAGTTTGATAATGAAGAGATACCACAGAAATGCGTTTGTTAATAATCGAGGAAAATCACAAAGAGAGAGTGGACAATGTATTATAACATCGAAATCGATGTCTACTAACAGTGATTCGCAGACCCAACGACGAAATAATTATTACTCCTGCAAATTAGCAGGTTTATGGCGGTTCGATTTCATTACTAGAGAAAGAGAGAGAGAGAGAGAGGAGGGGTTGGGAGGGAGAAGGGTCTTTCTCTCATCGTACCACAAACCGTTGGTGGTCATCCAGTTCTCTCGATCTCTACCTTCGCTTTCGTTCGATGACCAATTCCATTTGTCGACCATTCCAGCAATACGAATTCGTGTGTTGTCCAGACAGACGGACAGGCAGACAGATGGACAGGGAGAGAGAGAGAGAGGAAAAGTTGCTAAAATAATTTTGAATTTGAAAAGGGAAAGAGAAATTGCTTTCCGATATTCACCTACACACTCGTAAATCTGGAGACGCGTTTTAAATGACTTTACTCGTTTGGATATGAATTGTTAAAAGTTATCGAATAAAATTGGGAAGACAAAATGAACTTTTTGTCGTATCTATAATTCAAACTTTTGCTCTTGTTTTTTGCATGTTGAAAATAAAAGGAAAAAAATAAAAATAAATATGTGTGTGCGTGTATGTGATATTAATCTACGTCGGATTAACAGTTGCAAGTGGATTTATGTCAAAGGAGATTTAGATTTAGATTTCGAGAAAATACGTGACTATATATGTTACGTGGAGTTCTATACACGTATACGTGTATGCAGATATTACACGTATCGTTATAACGTCGAAAGCAGCAGCAGCCTGATCCGTTTTCGAGGGAAGAAAGTATGTATGCATGTATCGTGGTGGTGGTGCTAGACGCTCGAGTGCACGCGAAAGCTATGAGTTAGTATCCAACGATGATGAAATATGGAACGTGCTGGTTCAATAGGGCCTTCTGCCCAATGGCAAATCTTTTTCAAATCTCTTCATATAAAAAAGGAAAAAGTAGAAATAAATTCAAATCATTATCGAATATAGGAGCCACGCACTTGTGAACGAAAAATATTTTAATTCCCATATAAAAAAAGAAATCATTTTCACTTGATTTTACTACTTCACTACTTCATTTTATTTCGGTAAAGCAATTTTTGGTATTAATTTGTAGTTCTCGCATTGGAATGGTTAATGATGTATTTACCGGTTAGAAATGAAAATTTGTCGCGTGCGACGAAAACGATCGAACTGTCCGAGTAAGCCGGAATTAGAGCGTGCAGCCTTCGATGCATATTCCATATGCGATTCAGGGTCATTCCACTCGAAATTCGTGGCTTCGCTTCCGTGATGTTCAAGCAAAGAGCGTGTGCGAGAGAGAGTACGTTGAACCTTTTCGACGGTCGTCGTACCTTTCTTTTTATCGTCACCCTTTTCGCACACTCAAACGATCTTTTCACTCTCCTTATTTTTCTTTTTTTAAACTCTTCGAGAAAAGAGTTTCTTGCATCGAGATTTGTTCGTTCGTTCGTCGTTCGCTCKTTCGTTCGTTCGTTCATTCCTTGCCCGACAAAACAGCGATATTTTGAAATAGTCAAGCGGTGTGATAAGCTCGACGATTAAATCCCAGACTTTGAACCGAGACTCATTCATTTTTATCTTCCAACGCGTTCTTCTTTACATCGTTTTATTATTTATTATACACTTTCTTTTTATTATTAATTTCTTTCTTCCATTTATTTCAAATCGTTTTAATATGCGCAGTTTAGATCGATTTTGTGCATTGCGTTCACGTTCGGGTGTTTAGGGTTGCGTTTGGAATATCAAAATTCACTCGTCTAATAACAATTGTATGAGAGTATAATTAATCTTCTCATAGTTCTTGCTTAGTCATTGCATTTAGTGGACACAAAGACGATTCTAGGTTTGTATTTATACTTGAAAGGTTTCAAACAGATTAGGTTCGTTCTAATTTAATGCAACTCTCCTCGGGTACCTAAGCTTCGCGTAACAACAAAGCTTCAACGTAAAGATCGATTTAGTCGTCGATAATAATGCTAATTATTTTAATCTAATTTAGTCGCGTTTTTCCTTTTTTTTTCTTTTTTTTTGTTTCTTCAAAGAAGAACAATCTCTTTTCTCGTTTTCTCGTTTGCAAAAAGGAGACATTTTCGTATTGCGATAAGACAAAAGTATCAATCTACAAAGGAGGACATTTAAAACATTGAAATATATCGAACGATATTGAAATTTCAATAAAATGCAGATATATGAATATTTATCGAGGGTAAATAAGTAGAATGTGGCGTGCGTATTATTCGTATACTCCGAGAAGGGAACGAAGATAAAGCTGACGTGCCGTGCTTGCAAACTGCAATCAAAAGAATACAAATTGATAGAGTGTACATGTCATGTACGCGAACGCACACAATATTGAAGCTTTCATCTTGTTACATAGTCACGTATTTAAAATAACAAGAATATCTAACGATAGATCTATAATCGTTCATCAGATAAAAGATTAATTCGAAATAATTTTTTATGTGATAGAATAAAAAAGAAAAAAAAAAAAGAAAATACTTTATACCCGTAGAGAAACATTTCCCATAAAAATATAATATAAGTTTTAAGCTCGTATATATATTGTCGATACTTGAAAAAAAAAAAAAAAAACTCATCTCTTCGTATAAAACGGCAGCTGCATCGAAGGATCTCACCTGCAAAACGCACCTGTCATCCTGGCATTTTCGTTTTATCTTTATTTCGCGATTTCGATCGATTTACGATCGATTTACGATCGATTTACGATCGATTTACGATCGATATTACGATCCACCGAGCTAAAAAGTTCTTCGTCCAAGCGTTTGCGTCAGAGAGGGGGGAAGAAACGAAAAAGAAAAGGAATAATCGTTCGATCGAGATAAAATTTGGCAAAGGTCACGGAGATTCTTTTGGAGAGAAAGAAGAGAGTGACCTTGGGAGGAGTAGAGCAGTACGGCTTCCGCATTGCAAGAGTGGGGAGAAGAAGGTAGCAGCATTGCGAAAGCTTTCCCTTCGATCAATTCGACCGACGAGGATTTTGTCGTTGATGTTATAATTCAAGAAATTCCATTCGAATGATTAAAAAACAATTGATCTGAAATGTAATCGAGAATTTTGTCAACGTCGCGACCTTATTAGATAGGACTTAGTTGGGCTCGTTGGAAGAATAAGAAGACGTTAGTTGGAGAAAGCGTCGTATAAGGGTAAACTCCCTCTCTCGATAGGGAACTAACTAATGAGCCCCGTAATCGATCGTGGTTCCCACTTTCGAAGGACTTCCAAGATCGAAGGAAGATCTCCCTTGTGGGAGAGAACACGCACGCGACGATCCACTCGTGCGTCGATTATAAATTATCCTCTCTAAAACGCATAATCGTCGATTAATAATTAAGAGCCAATGAATGAGGGAGAGGGAAGTTAATCGTCTTGCGCACACATTTTCTTTCTAATTCAAAACGTTGCTACCTAAAGGGATTACAAAATCTCATAGAAATTGTATCCTTTTAACCCTTCAAATCATATTCATATTTACAATTAAGCATTGTGCCAGGTCACTTGCACAGATCAATTTCTTTCCGCTTGTTATCTGTGTTCTCTTGTTATTTAATATAAAAAGGGAATAATCCAAATTCGGATTCGTACAAATAAATGGGATTGCGTGCAGAAAAGGGGGTAGTAAATAATTAGCTGGAAGGATTTGTCAGTGATATCTCGCAAAGGGATTCATTCTTTCGGACGTGTCATGCAGGGTTGGTTATGCGAGGCTTGACCAGGCGTTATGGTGTTTACCCTAGGACAGGATAATTACGTAAATGTTCTCGGTCTTGTCTCTTCTCTCGTCGAAAAGCGGTGTAGAAATAGTCGACGCACATCTAGTAGTTCTGCTCAGACCGCAGTTTCTCCTAGTTAAGTTTAAACTAGTTGGAAGTAAGTTAAGCTTCGGGCTTACTCGTGTAAATACGACTGGCACTTATACCGATGCTAATTCGAGAATCGATGTCGCTGCGCTGTCATAGAAGATAGAAACATCTTTGGTAAGATCCAAACAAAAATCTCTTCAAATATATTCCGAAAATGAATCCAACTAAGTATCTCTTCCTTTGCAACTATTTTTCTGATAATAATTTTGAATTAGGAGAGATTCGATATTAAAAACTAGAACACCAAACTTCCCTACCGTTCATAATTCGTACTCGTGAAAACACCGTGCGCTACGATATTACAAAATATTCCTAAAAAAAAGTGGGAGAAAGCAACAAACTTCTTGTTCATATTTTTTTACTCCCGAATATACAGCATAGTTTAATATTAGAAAAAAAGTGAACCACCAACTGTTCCAGTTGAAAACAAAAAGTATCAAAAGTAAGTATTAGGTTGTCCCATAAGTTCCTTCCTTTTTTTGTTTGGAAAAAAAATTGTGATTGTAGGGTCGCGCTCGTGTCATTTTTGTACATGTTTGCATTTAATGTGAAAATATTATAGTGAATTAGGTGATAAGAATAAAGGCATCTCTACTTTTTGAACTTGTTAGAAACCTTGGTAAAATTTGACTTTCTCGTGTTAGTGAGCAAAAGAAAGAGATAAGTAAAACATGCACACGAAGAAAAGTAGAGAAGAGTCTTAAATAAACTCCCCGGTGAAACGATGGTAGAGAGAGAGAGAGCGTAGAGTACTAAACAAGTTGGCTCCCCTGTTGAAGGGGGAAACGTTGAGAAGGGAGTAAGGAGAGGAAGTCATTAGCTACATTTTAGCTTCGTTTCGTTTTAATTTCGAAGGAACTACGTACCGGAAGAGTAAATACTA